CGGTAAAAAGTACCGGCACTCAGACTGCCAGTACTTTTTACCGTAAAATCTATTTTTATCGAACGATATTAAGATAAAAATCGATTATTACCGGAACATGTTACGGATCATAAAATCTGAAATACCGTGAATTTCACTGTGATAATTTCAATGAAATCATTAAATCACTCTTATTAAATACATATTACAGTATAATATTTTACGGCAAAAATGAATTTTTGGTAAAATGGATTATGCTCTAAAACTACCGGTTTTATTTGCCTTAATTTTATCAGGTATTTTTAACAATGTAGGTGTTTTGGTTATAATAAAATTTATGAATTGTTTCAAATATGACGCTTTTTTACCATACCTGACGTTTATCATCCCAGGCACAGTAATCCTTATATGCTGCTTCTATGCCTGACCATTCTGTTTTGGCGTAATCTGCCATAATCTTTGTCAACTTCTTCATTTTCTTAAAAAAAAAAAAATAGAGAGTTAAGCTCTAATTTATCAGTTAATAGTATAGTGAACGGGAAGAAAAAAGATAATCATCCTTAATAATTTACATGTTAGTAGATTTTTACATTCTAAAAACCAATAGTAACTTTGAGATAGATTATGTTAAGATTGTTTCATTGGAAATCGATCAGTGTTGATTAAATTACGAAATTAGGCAAAAGAATTCTTTTTATTACTAAACATTATTTTCTTTTTCAATGTATTTAGATCTGAAAAATATGGTCCCATTAGTTTGGTTTTTCAAGTGCATATAAATGTTGTGAACACTACTTGTTAATTTCCCGTTTTACGCAATTCTCCTTGTCCTGAACTTAACTGAAGCAAAACATATTTGTTCACAATTATAAGAATCCTTCTCCAAATGAAATAACTTACACTTTTTTTCCCATAAAAACAACTTTTATTAATTTTTTTGGTTTTATTATTTTCCATTAGAATAGCAAAAAAAAATTTAATCGTCAGACTTACAAATTTTAATTCTACTTTATTATACTTCATTTTAAATCACAAAAAGCAAAGTTTGAGTCAAAGTTTCAAAGAAATTGGTCTCGTAGGTTTTGAGTTACGTAGGTCGAAAGATTCGCATGTGCCTTGCAATTCAGATTTTCTTTGACAAATTTTATCTTTATATAAAAAGACATATTACAACGTTCAAAAGTATTTATAAGTTTAAATGTGTTAGAGATATAGCAAAATATGAAAGAATATTGACCATTGTCTTAACTAAAATATGGTGACCTAATTTATCAGATTGCAACTCTTAAAAACATTATAGTAAATAAAATTTAATCATTACTTCATAAATAATTCAATTTCTTCCCTTTTTTTATTCTGCATATTGTGCAAAAAATAACTGGATCACCCTGAATAATTTTTAAACTAATTATCAGATCTTAAGGTACAACAGATCAATCGGAATAGTTCAAAGAGATGGCCTTAAAAAATTTTGATTAGTTCGGGCAGACGATATTATAAGTTACGAAATCTGATACGAAAACGGAATCTTGATCCCCAAAATAGGGGGTATATATCCACTAGGGAAATGGGGTGTCTATTGTTTAGTCAAGAAAATGGCCTTAGTTTTGACCCCTCAATGTTAATTTTAATATTTGAGTATTTTCACATATCTCGAGAATGTTTTAAAATTCGATTTCTCAGCAACTATTCAATTGATTTCGTTCCAATTTTTCATTTTGGAGCATAAGACTACTTTTTTCAACTAAAAATTTTTATACCTTATAATTCAAACATTTTTGAGCATAATAAAATAAATTACTAAAAAATAATAAATATTTACTAAGAATTTTATTTTGCACAAAATTATCTTTGAATAAACAAATTTTATTATTGTCTGTAGCAATATTTTGAGTCTCCTAAAAAATTATGGAGATATGGCGAAAGTATAAGAATGAATAAATTAAGTATAAGAATAAAAAAAAGGTGAATAAAGCATAAACGAAAGTACATAAATTGTCATGGAATAGTTTCAGTTTCATAAACAAAGATCTCCCTCATTGTGTCATGTCTTTCTAAGTGTTAGACTCTGAAGAAGTTTCTTGTTTATAGAACTGAAACTATTATGTGTCAATTTATGTATTTTCATTTGTGCTTCCACGTTGTTTTTTGCGTCAGTCTACATAGCCCCCACATTTCCTTTCGTTGAATAAATAGAAGGGTTCAAAACTCTAAACCGCCCTCTTAACCGAACAATTGTAACCACATTTCCCAGATTGCAGCTATCCCCTATACTTTTAAGATCAGGAATCCATGAAAGGAAAAAAAAGGAATGCTGATTCGGAAAAAGGACATTTATGTGTCTGATCTGGCAACTTAAAATATCGTCTGTACTAATTAATTTGCATATTTGAGGTCACTCCCTCGAGCCATTTAGAATGATTTCTAATACACGAAGATCCGATCATTAGATCAAAAGTTTTTCCGGGTGGTTTTTTTTCTTCTTCTTCTTTTCTATTCCCCGCGCACTGTATACTCAAAAGTTTTCCAATGTAATTTCTATACCGTGATTGCTATGACCTGTCACAGTCACGTAAAATTTAAGTCGTAAATGGTTAAAGCAATCATAGTCACAAATGTGAAAGTTCTAAATTACTCCAAACAGATCATAATGTGACTTTGATGTCACCTTATCATGAGATAACACATGTCACCTTATAATGAAGTAACACACACCTTATCGTGAGAAAGTCTCATTGACTACTTATTGTGACTTTAGCCGATTGGAAGTCACAAGCATACTTTACAGGGACTGAGAAACATTTTTGTAACTTATTTATAATTTTGATCCCTTAAAATTCACATGGAAAGCATTTCACGACTTGTCTAATTATAGTTACTTTCTTACGACTCGTCTCATTCTGTTCTTATAATCAGTTTTTAGCGAATTTATTTCATTGATGTCACGCTACTCGTGTCACTAAAGTTAGACCAGTCAGTTAAAATTCATGAAAGTCTAAAAATTTACTATGTGAGTCAAATAAAGTCACAACAACAGACACTCACTGATGTGATCCGTTTAAATAGTTCCGATTGCCTCACTATATGATTATTCTTATTTTATAACCGTCGTTGAACAGCCGACCCAATCTTTCGTGTTCAACTCCGTAGCCTTGTAATTTTGAACCCAATCCAGAAGACAAGGGAACTCATGGATCAAGTATTCAGAGAAATTTGCCTTCGTGGGGGTCTTTTTGATGGAACTAACCCGCATTTGAGTTACATGGAGAGAAAAACCTCTCATGGTTAGCCTAACGGAAAGGGGACTCTAACCCATGATTCGTCTACCACTGAGGATATTTTCACGTCAGCACTGTGGTCGGTGCAAGCCAGGTGCGGGATTCGTATCTACCAGCCATTGCTGGGATTCAAACACGGTTCACCTCATTGGAATGCGAACGCTCTATCTCCCAAAAAAAAAATTCCGTGCAATTTCTCTATTTTCTAACATTCACAGTCTCAAGAAAAGAGCTATTAAATGTGAATATAGCCCTTTCAAATTAAAGAACAATATTTAACTAAATTTATTTCATTATTTTTAAGATTATTGTCAGTTTGAAGAAAAAATTTGAATGTGTAATGCCTGGTCTGCCGCAAGACTGCGCTGGTTATAAACTTCAGCCATGATCCTCTCCGTACTTTCTCTCGAACGTATTATTTTATCGTAATTAAAATGTTAAAATAACTAACTGAGTTAGAGGAGTTTATTACAGTGGCGGCCCACCTATGGGGGGCCCGAAGTCTACATTTTTACGCCTTCGGACAAAAACCGAAAATAGTGATGTTCTTTCTTTCGTTTAGTGATCTTTCGTCATTTTCCGTATTAGAAAAAGTTTTCGTCGAGTTTCCGAATTAGAAATCCTAAGCAGGGATTTCGAAAATAATGCATCGATCGATCAAACCTACAATGATTAAAATATGAAAGTAATATTAAGTATCTAAATTTTGTGTCGGCCGGCAAAGCAAAGTAAAAAAAAAGGTTTTTGTTCTATGGGTATGGTATTTAGTTTCATAAATTTGTGTGTTTTAATTGTAAAGCACTTATCTTAGTTTTCAGCAAACATTGAAAAATGGTTTATAATATTGTTCTATTAGTATTTTGTTTCATACTTGATATGTTCTAGAATAATAAGATAAAAGAAGTGTATGTTAAATTTAGAAATATTTTGTGAAGTATTTTCAATATTTTCTATAAATTATAAAATTTTGTGCATTATAAATTTTATATGGTAATTGCATTATATGTGGTAATTAATATTTAAATGAATATTAATTAAGGTGTTAATTTGAAATTAAGTTTATTAAATATCTTAATGAGTGGTATAAATTTCACCTTTTATTAGTAAAAAGTAAATAATATTTTAAGCACTGAATGTTTTATATCATGTATTGAAATAGTTAACGAAGTTCATTGGTGAAGGTAAGTTTTAACGAATTTTTAGTCCTTTTCTCATGTTGTTCTTACAGGATTTTTAGGGAAAATATTTTTTTTTGTCAAAATGTCTGAAATTGACAAAGCGCGTTAAGGATATTTTATATCAGGTAGCACTTGAGATGGAATTGGACGTTCAACCAACCATGAAAAATGCAAAATTGCGCGAGGTTATAAAATCCTCCCCTCTGTTTAAAGACGAGGTCTTCGTAGATTCACTGGTGAAAAATATAGCTGAATTACGTGAGGAAGAACAGCGTAAGGCAGAAGGCGAATTGGAAGAGAAACGTAGACAACAAGAATTCGAGTTAGAAAAACAAAAGATGTAAATAAATTTTTGAGTTGGAAATACTCAAACTGCAAGCTACAGAACCTAAAGGTGCGGAGACTGGAAACGTAGTACATCCGACATCTTATTCTGAGACCAGAGTAGATATTCAAAAGTTACTGCCTCCATTTAAAGCGGATCGAAACTGATAATATTACCCTATTCCTGATATTGCTGGAAAGGCAGCTAAAGTTAGCAAAAGTGTCTGAGCAACTTTGGGTTTTTTCACCTGCTAAGTCTGATACCGAGTTCGATTTCTATCCTCATAGCCCGTGAGTCTGAAGAAAATGCTTCAAATTTTAACTATGTAAAAGATCTGCTTCTCAAGCATTTCAAATTGAGTTCCGAGAAATTTAGGCATATTTCATTATTTTTAAGATTATNTCGCAAGCAAAAAGAAAGCACCTGGCGTGATCATTATTTTGAACTGAGAGCTTATTTCGAGAATTAGTTGAATGAGCTGAATGTTACCACTTTTAAGGATCTTCAGAATCTGATCAGTGCGGATCAAGTAAAAAGAAGAGTTCCTCCTGATTGCAAGGAACATCTGTTAGATGAGTGGGAACAATTAAACTCGCCAGATACTTTAGCTGATAAGCTTGACGCCTACGACAACCTTAGATCTACTTATGTAAAGAAGGATACGGCTGTCAAAAGTAAGAGAGAAATCCTATCGCAGGATAGTTATACAAGAAATTAAATAAGCCTAATTATGCAATAAAAAGAAACGAGTTTTCCTCGAATAATAAAGAATCGAAGATATCTTGTTATGGTTGTGGTAAACCAGGTTTTATAAGAAAGAATGCCCAATTTTTTCCGTTGCAGAACAGAAAGAAACTGTTGAAGCAAGAAAGGTAATGCTCTATAGTTGTAATACTTCGACAGGGTAAAATCCGAATATACCTATTACGATCTGTAATAAGGAGGTGTATGTCTGTGCAGACACAGTAAACCGTTGTATTACAGGTGAGCGCATGTTTGAATTATTCAAGAAAAATTTAGTGGCATTGAAAAAGCACACTCATAATGTAATATTAGCCGATGGTGTGACCCAATCTAGAGAAATTTTGTCAGCTGTACTGTCAGTACTATTGAAGGTAGAATTATTGAAACAGAATTTATAGTTTTACCTGAAGCTAAAGGTAACAAAACCTTGATGGATATGAGTTTTTTAAAGAAGGCTAATTTAGTATTAGCAGCATCGACCAAGTCTTGGTGTTTTGGTGATAATCCTAAGAAAAGGTATTCACTAGTTGAGGATGCCGAATCCACTGAACACATTCCTGTAGCGAAGGTTGAAGTTAACCCATTTGCTTTACGTAAAGATGAAGGAAAAAGTCTTACGCCTGATCAAAGAAATAAAATTAATGCTCTTCTTAAAAAGTATGAGAGAAGCTTTCAACTAGGGAGAGAAGTTACTCCATTCGCCGAACATCGTGTTGAGACGGGAAATAATCCTCCTGTTGCAACGCCACCATGCAGAATGACGCCTGTTAAAAAATAAATTCTCAGGAAAGAATTAGACAATCCCTTGGCTCAAGGTGTCATTGAAGAATATGAATGTGAACCGTACGCTTCACCTGTGGTTCTTGCGTCTAAACCAAATGGTAGCATGAGGTTATGCATTGATTCCCTCACTATACCCGATACATATCCTTTACAATTAATGGATGAATTATTACATGAGGCTAAGTATACACCTTATATGTCAATATTAGACCTTAGATCTGGTTATCATCAAATTGCAGTTTATCCACCAGATCAGGATAAAACAGCATTTGTTTGTCCCTATGAAACTTTCCGGTACTTAAGGATGCCGTTTGGTCTACGAAATGCTCCAGCCACATTCCAAAGATTGATTGATCGTTTCAGAAGAGGCTTGATATTAACTTGATGACATATTTGTTTTGTCGGACACTTTTGAGAACCATCTTTCCGATCTTCAGGCAGTGTTTGAGAGGCTCATCGAATTTAAGCTGAATACTAAACAAGAGAAATTTCACTTTGCTTGTGAAAAAGTAAAGTACTTGGGACACTGGATAACGCCTAAAGGATTAGAAACTTGATCCTGCTAAAGTGGAAGCTATAAACTGCATACCCCAACCGAAAAATGTAAAGCAAGAGCAATCTTTTTTACAATCTTGCTCGTGGTATCGACTTTTTATTCCGAACTTTGCTGATATTTCGCGGCCACTCAGTAATCTAAAAAAGAAGAGAACCATTTGGAAATGGGAAAAAACATAACAACAAGCTTTTGAAACTCTCAAGAAATGTCTTGTTACTCCTCCAGTATTGAAACAAACTGATTGTAAAAAACCATTCTTAAGAACTGATGCTAGTAACTATGCCTTAGGAGCAGTGCTTTTACAGGGAGAGGACAAATGAACATCCTATAGAATATGCCAGTCGACTTATCACAGCAGCTGAAAGAACTTACTCAACCACAGAAAGAGAAGCATTAGCTGTCGTGTTATCACTTGATAAATTCCGCAGTTATATAGAAGGCCAAGAATTCACTTTAGCGACAGACCATCAACCATTAAAGTGCTTGATGAATCTAAAGTCACCGTCTGGAAGATTAGCTCGCTGGTCTTTGAAAATTCAATCTTAGAACCTAAAGATCGAATATTTTCCTGGAAAATCGAATGTAGTAGCTGATATGTTGTCTCGATCTGTCTGCGATACTAAAGTAAACAATACAGAAATCTGTAATTTTGTGAGCCATCTAGAAGTCCTGTTAGCATTCGTGATGCTCAGCTAAAGGATGAAAGTATTAAGAAAATAATCGAATATTTTGAAAATAATAAGAAGGATGAAGATTTTGTAAACTGGTCAGATAGAGGATATTTGATGAATCAAGGGATACTCTATAGATATGTCCCAGACTCCGATGTAGAAGAAGCTCAACTTTTAATACCTTCCCAAGAAAGAGAAACTATCATGAAATTGCATCACGGTTCTACTACTGCTGGTCATTTTGGAGAGAAAGGAACTTACCGACGTATTTCTCAGAGATACTATTGGGCCGGCATGAGATCTTATATTGAAAATTTTGTCAAGAAATGTCCTGAATGCTGTCGTTTCAAAGCAACCAATCAAAAACCTTCTGGACTTTTAAGAACTCCGGCGTATGCTCAACGATTCAAGACTTTGAGTATAGATTTATTTGGACCGTTACAAGAAAGTAAAGAAGGCCACAAGTGATCCTTATTATTGAAAATTGCGCAACTAAGTGGGTGGAGCTGTTTTCTCTTGTCTCAGCCACTGCACATGAGTGTGCAACTAAACTTATTGAAGAAGTTTTCCTGAGGTACGGAATCCCAAGGAAATTAATTAGTGATAATGGCCCACAATTTGTTAGTGCTGTGCTGCAACAGGTTTGTTGTACACTGGACATTGATCAAANATCCACACGCGAATCCAGTCGGGGAAAAAATCGAGACTTAAAACCTCGTCTTGCCATCCTTGTGGGAGATTCAAATGATTCTTGGTCTGAAAAACTACCAAGCATTCGTTTCGCTCTAAATTCTTCTAAATTAGATACAACCGAACATACTGCAGCCTATTTGCAATGTGGGCGTGAATTGAGGACAATTGGTGATGTAGCCTACGATCTAAAAGCTGTTCGGGACAATGATAACTTTGTTCCGGAAATCACGCCGTACTTGAAGAGATTAGCCTCAATCTCTAAGACTGTTAAGGAACGCGTTGAAATGAAACAAGACCAGAGAAAGACTTATTATGACCGGAACCGAAAAAAACTGTATTTTACTCCTGGCCAAAAAGTTTGGGTTGTTCTACATTCTATTAGCAGAGCTCACAACAAAAAAACAGCAAAATTTATGCCAAAACGCGACGGCCCTTATGTGATCCTAACTCAACGATCACCAGTTTCATACGAGGTGACCAGTTTAGACAATCCTACCGCACGCACCTATAGGAACTTACCTTGTTTCGGCATTAAGACCGTTCATTGAAATGGAGACGACACCAATCGCTCCTCTGCGAAAAAGAGGAAAGAATGCTGTTTTAAATGCGAGACGCTAATTAAAACAGAGGGGGAGGATGTAATGCCTGGTCTGCCGCAAGACTACGCTAGTAATAAGCTTCACCCATGATCCTCTCCGCACTTTCTCTCGAACGTTTTAATTTGAGTGAACGTAAAAAAGTGATGTTTGTTTTGTGTTGTGTTGTTATTGTATTATTTTATCGTAATTAAAATGTTAAAATAACTAACTGAGCTAAAGTGATTTATTACAAAGTAATTTTCTTCTGTGTTTAAAATAGATGAATATACTTATATTTTCTTTAAGAATCGTGTTAAAAATTTTAAGTTGTGAGCGAATTTTATTGAAACAATCTTGATAAAATTTGTCTCATTTAGAAAAATTATTGCTGAGACAGGTCCGGATTAAATGGGGGCTACTGGGATTGTTTCCCCTGGTTTGGGTTAACTCGCCATGCGATATTTTTTTTAAAAAAAAGCGGTCTGTAAAATATGCGAAGAAATAAAATAAATTTTAAAAAAACTTTACTGTAATTCCCATTGTGGCATAAAAATAAAAGAGAAAGAAAAAAGTGAAGAAAAAAAAACTATATACATTGCAACGTTTAAGTAGTTCTTTGCCTAAGCGGAAGTCAGGAATCCAACATTCAAGGCAGCTGAGATCGCCATTTTTTTTCCCGTCAAGATAAGAAGTTTTTCATAACTCATTTGCCGACAATTTCAATATTTAGCGTTTGTACAACAAACGTTCGATTATTTTCTTCTTCCTTTGCATAGTTTCAGCGATGCCAAAGATCTATACTAAGATGTTAAACGTACATAAATCAAGGCTTGAAGTTTAAAAAAGTTACTTCGTCCTTTTTTGTTGATGTCGCATTTTAACGTCACCTAGATGTCAACATGAGACCACAATGAGACCTTTAACTGCCACAGGGATTTCACACTGCGATGAAAACGGGTCATATTCACGTCCTTTAACTGCCACAGGGATTTCACACTGCGATGAAAACGGGTCATATTCACGTCTCAACAGGATCTCAGTGTGAAAACTGTGACATATTCAAGTTTCAACAGGATCACTATGTGACAGATTCTTGTCTGAACAGGATCCTTGTGAGAGACGAAACTGTGGCATATCTCCGTTTCAAATAGGTCACTGAGACTGTTGCACTCTGGTAACGGTGCTACCTGAATATGAGCTATGAATTAAAACTTTGTAGTTGTAAAATATAATGTTTCCATTAATATGAGTTACAATTTTTTAAATACGTCAACAAGTTCGAATTTACCAAGGGAACCTCAAAAATATTAAGATTCAACAGATAAAAAGTTATCTATTCCTCCAAATTTGTTTCTATACTCAAAAAATCTTAAAAATAATCTTACCTCTTCTGGTACCTGATTTAAACATGCATCAAACTCATCAAGTGCGGCTTTATCTGCAATTAAATTGTTTTCAGTTAAGGAAACGAAATGTCATTTTTGAAAATAAACTACTTTCTAATATTCAATATTATATACAATAAAAAAAGACGTACAGAAGATTAAGATATTCGTTGCTAAAATTGATATTTAGATAAGAATTTGTTCCTTAGGTTAGGCTTATTGGAAAATAAAATTCAGGTGATAACTAAAGTTTAGCTAAAATTCAGGTGACTTAGCTAAGCTTTTGGCAGTACTGCATTGGCTAATTTATTTATTTTTATTTTATTCTTTTAGTTTGTAACCAAGGAAATTTCACTAGAATCAGAACGATCAGAATTGATGTAGAATCAGAACAATCGGAATTTAACTTGAATCAGAAAAAAAGTTCTTTCGAGGATGGTTGGTGAGTAAATAGAGTAATACTTTTATTTTCGTTGGAAGTGAACACGAGTTAATTTTTAAAAGTCAGCATACTGTAACTGTAGTCCGTTACATTTTTAAATTCAGTAATATTACTTTCTTTCTTTTTGGGGAAAAAAAGTTTTAAAAAAATTAATGTAAATGTCAAAAAAAAATTTTTTTTAATCCTAATTGTTTCTTTTTTTTTTGAAATGGTTCAAACGAAAAACAGTTATCCTTTTTTTAATCCAATTTAATAATTTTTCATTTTCTATGAATATAATAAAAAATATCTAACTACATCAAAAGTTTAATTTATGATTAAATTAAATTATTGGATGAGCCCCAATTTGTTTTTGCGAAACTCCTCTTATACATATGAAAACATGTAGGAGAAAGTGGTATAAAATCGGGAAAATGAGATTCGAAGCCCAGCTAGAGCTAAACTGCTCGACCTAAAAAATTTCAGATTTAATTAAGATATATCCATTGTTTAGTTGTGTACTATATATCATTCTTAAAATGTCATGTAAGTACTGTTGTTTTTAAGAATGACTTTTTTTTTTCTAGAAAAAGCAGAATCACCCCTTCTTACACTTTTAGTGGGGTAGAGTTAACTTCCAGAGATGTTAACTCTTTGAGAAATCTAGGTATACTAGAATTTCAGTGAAAATGTAGCATACATTTTTATTTTTGTGACAATTTAAAAATATTATGCATGTAATTTAATGTGTAGTTATCTTCTTCCGCTGACCTGAATCTTCAAGCGAAGACGCACATCAAGGGGAGGATGGGGCAAGACTAAGGTAGTATCCGGTCTTTCGCTGACGGCAGAGGTTTTTGAAAAGAAACAGAATAACTAATAGAGTAAATCCTCATTGTTTAATTGGAAATGAATCTTTAGTAAATGTATAATAATCTGAACTAAAAATAATTTTTCGAAGTGTAATAGAAAACATTAAATAAGAATACTTTAAAAACAGTAGAACAAAACAAACTTATCTGCGCAGAAGCCATGAATTTAGCAATATAGTAGTTATTTTTCCTGTATAGTAAAATGCGATTTAGAGTTTGCCGCAAGAAAATATAACTAATTTCTAAACAATCCAGTTATCCGGTTTCACTCTACTAGCCTGTCCTTTAACTCTAATTCCGTAGCAATTATTCCATTTTTCAGTAAAAGTACTGGTTGTCTCTTTAGTGTTTATAACTGTTACCCAGATTTCGACTTTCATAATTATATCAAAGAAATGTAAACATTAAAATAAATGAACTATACCTGGCAATTCGTCATATTTAAAAAGTATTTTATTGTTAAACTTAATTTTTTTTTTAAAAGGTGTTTTTTTTTTCTTTTCTTGCTGCTCTTTTTCATTTTTTATTGAAAGAACTGATAGTCTCTCCTTTGGTAGCTGTTACTCTAATTTTTATTTATTTATTCGTATTAAAGAAATCTGAACTGAGAATGAAAGAGTTATTACTTAGTTATTTTTCACGTTTAAAAAGAGTACTTCATTTTTAAAAACAGCTTTTAAATGTGGGAACGAATATGCCGGAAACAATGAACTACTTAAAACTCAAAACATCTCATTTATAAGATCATTTATAAGTATTTAAAGCAAATATAATCATAACAGTAAATATAATCATGATACGAAAAGCATAACAGTTTTGCATTGCTATAAAAAGATAAATTAAAAAAAGAGTTATCTCAAATATGATATTGCTTTATAGTGCTTTAATTTAACATTAACTGAATACTGCACAACATGTTCCGAAAAGCTCGCGTAACAAACTAACTTCAGTTGAAATGCGAATGTTTTATGCAAATGCAAATTTAAAAATATATATATATATTACATTTTTAATCACTAAATAATGTTGCTTAAAATCATTCATTAATGAAAGTTAAAGTTACTAGCTTACTATTTAACTCGTTTAAAAATGTTACTTATTACTTTTCAAAACTAGCATTGTTGATGTTTAATCAAACATGGCAAATCTTTCAAGCATAATATTACAAGCTTTTATTAAAAAGTAAAATACTAATTAGCTAATAATTTTTAAAATGATTAATTTAAGCAAACAGAAGAGTTAAACAGTCGACCCTATTTTGGGTTTACGACTATCATTGTTCAACGCCGTAGTCTTGTAATTTTGAACCCAATCCAGAAGATAAGGGAAACTCTTGGACCAAGTAATGGGAGAAATTCGTCTTCTTGGGGGACTTTTTCATGGAACTAACCCGCATTTGCGTGACTTGGATAGGAAAACCGTGAAAACCTCCCACGGTTAGACTGACGGCAAGGGAACTCTAACCCATGATCCGTCTACCACTGAGGATATTTAACCTCAACACTGTGATCAGTGCAAGCCGGGTACGGAATTCGTATTGACCAGCACTGGGATTCGAACGGGTTCACCTAATTGAAAGGCGAACGCTCTATCCCCTAATCTGTGTCTTATTAAAACAATCACTCTTTCTAGGAAAAACAAGACTTTTTCACCTAGGAAAACAAAGATAATGAAAGCTGTCGGCGAACCAATGCGGGAGGACTTTGGTTTTTACGTCCAATTTGAGTCTACTAGCTCGAGTAGACGTGACAATAGAGGAACAGAAATATGTAACCAAATATAATATATACTGCAATTTGGTAATTAGGTTGGGAAATTTCTAAAAAAATTAAGAAACATTTAACTTGCTGAAAATTATAAAGGAAGGAAATTTTGTTAAATCTATATCTTGTACTTTTTAATGAATTGTTACTTAGGAAAACAGATCCTTTAAAATCTCTTACACTGATAAACTGCAATAATGACAATTGTTAAATAAATACAGTTCTACTTATAGGGGCAAATAATAATTGCGATTTAAACACAAAAAGATTCTCACCCTCTGCTTCGCATTTTATCCATTTTTGACAAGGTTCAACGTGTTCTCCCTCACCTACGTCGTGTGAAGGTAGAGGCGCTTTAAAACCATTTACTATGGTCAAAAGAACAACAGTTACTATTAAATTAATCAGCATCTTAACAGCAATGTGATTATTTACTACCTTATTTTAATATCTTTACTCAGCTATCAGAACTCAAGTCGGCTGAATCGGCTTTAAATATGTAAAAATTAGCTGTTTAAACAATAAAACGTGATCATAATACATTGTGGATTGAATAAGTAGGTTTTGTTAAAAACAATAGAAAATTCATTTGATGCAGAGCTCTACTTCCCTATTCTTTGTTTTGAATTTTAAAGAAAATTATGAAAAAGGAACAATATTACTATTGAGGCAGCTTATTGATCAAAATAAAATGTATTATAATCTATTTTGATTATTATTACAGAGAAAGAAATATTTTTTAATTCATTTCATTTCTTAAAATACAATATACCCATTCATTTTGACCTTCTTTTTTTTTTAATGAAACAGCATTGTTAAAAAGTTGTACATGCATTGCTAAAAAAATTTTCCATTGTGGTTTTTATCCAGTTTTCTTTCTGTTTAAAGGATGAATAGTTTGTTAAGCTTTTGTTACGTTTATTTTTTCTTCGCATTGAAAAAAATAATTCTGGAAAGGAAAGAAAATTACAATGCACGAATATATTTTTTGTGTTTCGTTCGTTTCTGTTAGTTTGCGAAAGAAAAGAAAGAAAAAACTAGTTGAGTTAAGTGGAAAGGATCAGGAAGAAACAAATGCGGCAATACACATTGTTGTATACAAATGTAAGTCAAACTTTTTTATGGTTTCCCATTGACGGAACAGTTGATGGTAACCAGAGATGGGCATTTTTCATTCAGAATAATGAATAAATAATGATGAATAATTATTCAAAATCTTCTTGAATAATGAAAAAAGATTTATTTATTAGCCAGAAATATTTTGAACAAATCATTTATTATTTTCAATCATTATTCTTTATTTATTTGTCAAGAATAACTGAATAATTTCACTAATCAACAGAAATGGGCAAGAAATATTCTAATTGACTACGTTTGTGACAACTCCAAGTAAAAGGTACATGGTAAAAAACTACTTGTAATTATTTTTATAAGTTACAAGCAACGATTGCAGATTAAAAGTGATTATGATTACCTGTAATCACAACAAGACGTAATAACTGGTAGTATATGGTTACAAGTGACCGAAATCTTTTATTTTAAGCAATTGTGCCATATTTGTAAATTACGCTCTTGGCTTTGGAGCATCTCCCTTGGCGCACTGTAATTACGCCAACTTAGCAAGCACAACCTTTTCTAAACTCAGTCTATGTTTTTGTACGCCATTACAGTTCAACGCAACACCCGAAAGGGAAACGCCAATAAACTCATTTTAATACAAAACGCTTACTCTTCATTTACGCTACCTCCGCACATTTTGATCCTTGGCGACCCGGAGGTGATCCCAGGGCCTGACTTTGCCTAATTAGGACCCGAGGCAAAAACTTCTTTGGGGGCCCCTTCTGCTTCACTACTTCAGTAATCAGTCGAACTTTTTGGAGGTATTTAAATTTTTTACCTCATTATAGATAACAAGAAAATTGACTAGAAACTCCAATGGCCAGATGAATATATCGCTCTGTCCATTTTATCGACTTTCTGACAATTCTATGTCCATTATGCTGCATGCAGATTTCTTATTGTTAACTTTGTCATCCAGCAGCGGAAATTTCATATCCTTGCTGACATAAGGGCGGGATTCAGCTAAATTTACGCAATGACTATGGTTCAATTAAGTCAATCAAAAACCTGTATTTTTGTAAAAATATCGCATTTTGTGATATGTAAAAATGCAAGCTTTTGATTGGCCAAATTTGTTCATCGTAACTGCGAAAATTTAGCTGAATTTCACCCTAGAAAGCCATGGATTTACAAAACAAAGATTATGTTCATACAATAGATTAATGAAGAAGCTAACATAAAACTGACGGATTTTACACTGTACTGATATTTTGTTTTAAAAAAAGTTCATTAAGGAAGGAAACGTAAAACAAACTTTCAATTCGATTTGGGGCCCCGCTCTGATGTGGGGCCCCGGAGCAACTGCCCCATATGCCACTGCCTTTGTAAGGCTCTGGGTGATCCAGATCCTATGGAATACTGA